GTAATCTCGCTAGTGCGCAAAGACCGTGTTGAATAAAAGATAACATTTTTTGAGTTTATGCAAGCAAGGTGCAGTGTCAGTGTAGTTTCATTATTTCCGTTATTCACCCCTATTAATTAACTTTTCTTCCAAGTAGTTTTGATAAAAGGAATACCAAGCAACATCCAGGGAAAATTCAGTAAAGGAATCACATCTCGAGTGATATTAGTTTGGTAGCTCGAGAGTATCAACCCTGAGTTGATACATTTTATGGTCCTTCGAGCCGGATCTTTCCGGAATTGAAAAAAAAAAATACAAAGATAATTTTCCGTGGACAATAGTTTGTGTTGAAGTGTGGAAGAGTGTGCCATCATGACGGATGACATGCCGCTAGCTCAACGACAGCTCATTCTGTCAACAAAGCGACAACGGATTACGAAACTTAAACGACAATTGACAACCTTCATGGGGAACAATAAGTTGATGAAAAAATTCCTCTCCATTTATAATGATAAGACATTTGAAGTGGTCAAGGTGTCCAACAGAATGGAGGAGTACACCAAGGCATTGGAAAAGGTTCAGGAGGTATGTCAAGAGTTTGAACAATTAGACCCTGAAAACGTGTACCACAAGCCAGAATCTCGATTTGACATTGAAGCTGACTACTATGGTAACATCGCAGAATTTGAAAGACTACTAGCCAATGCGCGAGGAGAGTCCGCAAGCTCCACGTCAGCCTTCAGCACCGAAAGTACACGACATGACTTTTATACAGTGACCGACACAAAATGCTCAGTATGTGACCAAGATCACCATGCACTGTACAAGTGCAAAAAATTCAGAAGCATGAACGTACCACGGCGCCTCGCGACTGTCAAGAGTCACTCATTTTGTGAAAATTGCTTACGCAAAGGTCATGGCAAGGAGCAGTGTTCATCTAAGCACATGTGCTGGGTATGCGAAGGAAGACATAATACCTTAATTCACACAGAAAGTAATATCAATTCCCAAGTTTGACAATTAACAAGTGCGGACAAGGCTACAGCATTGATTAACAGTGAAGCGAGCAACCAAATGCTCATCACAGCCATCGTCCATGTTACAAACAAGAACAAAGGGCTGATTCGCACAAGAATTTTATTAGATACCGGTTCAACAACCAACTTTATTACAGAAAGGCTCGCCAACAAGCTCAAACTAGAAAAGCGAGAGTATTCGATCCCAGTGGGTGGAATTAATGGATTGACCACTTACACCAAACATCAAGTGACAACAACGATTAAGTCCACCACAAGCAAATATGAAAGAACTTTAACTTTTCTCACTATCCCCAATATCACAGACTTGGTTCCGTCACAGCCCGTTCCACGGGAAACGTTGGTTTTTCCAAAAAATCTAAAGTTGGCTGATCCCACTTTTTACCTCCCTGGACCAATAGAAATGTTGCTCGGATCAGGCCCTACATTAGCATCACTCTGTGTTGGACAATACATACTCCCTCCCGATTTATATCTTCAAAAGACACAACTTGGATGGATCGTTGGAAGCAGCAGTGCATCTTCAAACTACGACTCAGCTCAGCAAACATTCTGTCTCTCAACTGATTTCGATCTGGAAAACTTCTCGAGATTAGAAGAAGTACCAAAACAAACGTTCTTATCCTCAGAAGAACAATTGGCAGAAGAACATTACGTCAAGAATTATCGGAGAGACACAACAGGTCGCTACGTCGTGGCTCTCCCATTTAAGCAAAGCGCTCCTCATTTGAGTTCGTCCAGAGAAAAGGCCCAGAAACGGCTAAGATCCCTTGAACGCAAATTTCATCATCAACCTCAGTTAAAGCAGCAATATACTGATGTCCTTTCTGAGTACTTGGAACTCGATCACATGACGAAGGTCAGCAACGATGGCGGAGGAGGGTTCTATCTACCTCATCACGCAGTAATAAAGGAGACCAGCCTAACTACCAAGGTCCGAATAGTATTCGCCGGGTCAGCCAGCAGCTCAGACGGGATTTCGCTCAACTCAGCCTTGATGGTCGGCCCCACAATCCAGGACGATATTTTTTCATTGATTACCAGATTTCGATTCCACAAATATGTTCTAACAGGTGATATTGAAAAAATGTACCGACAGTTCATCGTACGACCTGAGGATCGCCAATATCAAAAGATTCTCTGGTATGACAAAGACAATCGAATTACCACCTACGAACTCAACACAGTCACCTTTGGACTGTCAGCTGCGCCATTTTTGGCAATCAGAAGCCTCAAGCAGCTTGCTCTAGATTACGCTGATGAATATCCACTCGCTGCACGAATTTTGGGGAAGGACATGTACGTCGACGACTTATTGACTGGCTTCTCGACACAGCAAGAGGCCCTGGCTGCTCAATCTCAAATAATCCAATGCCTGCAACAGGCAGGTCTCAATATCAGACAATGGGCATCCAATGAGATGACTCTGCTGCAGCACCTACCTGCAGAAGACATCAATAAACATCTCCAGCTCGACAATGAAAAAACATTAAAGGCGTTGGGAGTTTTTTGGCACTCTTAGTCCGACCAAATCAATTACTCGGTCAAGCCAATCATAAATAGCAACACAGTCACCAAGAGGTCCATTCTGTCTCATGTGGCCTCATTGTTTGATCCACTAGGGCTTCTTGGTCCAATGATTCTACTCGCCAAGAGTATCATTCAAAAGCTATGGGTGGCGAAAGTGGAGTGGGATGAATCTGTACCAACCAGCATCCACACTCTATGGACTGAGTTTTACAGAGAACTCCCCACAATCAATAATTTGCAGTTTGATCGGAATGTTCTGACTTCAGAGTCAACTTCTATACAATTACACGGTTTTTGCAACGCAAGTGAGAGAGGATACGGGGCATGTCTCTACGTGAGGTCCACCAATACCATAGGGGACATCCACACAGCTCTTCTGTGCTCCAGGTCGAGAGTGGCACCCTTAAAGACCATCACAATCCCACGACTCGAACTGTCAGGCGCACAAACCCTGGTTCAACTGTATCAAGCTGTCAAGGAAGCCATCACGGCTCCAGTTTCCAGGGTGGTTTTTTGGACTGACTCCATGGTGGCACTCCATTGGATTGCATCATCGCCACATCAATTAAAAACATTTGTGGCTAATCGAGTTGCCGCCATTCAACAAGGATCTTCCGAAATCGAATGGAGACACATCAAATCCGAGGACAATCCTGCAGATGCCCTCTCACGAGGGCAACTGCCCAGTGAATTAGTTGATAACAACTTGTGGCGTCAGGGTCCAATCTGGCTGCGGAATCCTGAAGACACGTGGCAGTGGCTGCCAGTACAACAACTCGAAGCCGATCCTGAAATGAAGATATCGACCTATTTGCATGTCATCTCTGAGTTCACTCTATTTTCACATTACTCGTCATGGACCAAATTAAAACGACATGTTGCCATTTGGAGAAGATATTTTAATTATATTCAAAGAAAATCACCATCAAAGGATCCATTAACGGTAGAGGAGCTAAGAGAAGCACAATTGGCCATTCTCCGAGTGGTCCAGTCCAAGACGTTTCAGGAAGACGTGGTCAAGTTACAGGCCAAACCAGCTCAGTACAATGGCAAACTCAAGACATTGAATCCGTTTATTGATCGTCAAGGAATCATGAGAGTGGGAGGCAGACTACAGCAGGCGAACATTCCATTCTTTCAAAAACATACTGTCCTTCTGCCCAAGAACCATCACGTTACCAACTTAACCATCAATGCCGAACATTTAGCTCAGATACATTCAGGAGTGCAAAACACTTTACACGGCCTGCGACGTGAATTCTGGCTCTTGGATGGTCGCTCTCAGGTTCGAAAAATTGTTCGACAATGCCTTCCTTGCCTACGAGCTCGTCCCCCTGTCCCAGAATAAACAATGGGCAGTTTACCAGCCACCAGAGTCAATCCCACTACACGTCCATTTACTCACGTCGGAGTCGACTACTGTGGTCCCTTCTATATAAAGGAAACAAAATATCGTAATCGGAAGGGGATAAAGGTGTACGTGGCCGTATTCGTTTGTCTAGCAGTAAAGGCAGTGCACTTGGAGGTAGTGAGCGATTTGACTACTGAAGCCTTCATTGGAGCATTAAGACGTTTGATCAGCAGAAGAGGCCGACCAGCTATCATCCAATCAGACAACGGAACCAATTTTGTCGGCGCTAACAATGAGCTAAAGCAGATGGTAGCAGAGCTGCAAGATCCAAAAAACAATCACAAGATTACGTCCGAATTAACACCACGGGGAATCGACTGGCGATTCTCACCTACCCAATCTCCTCACTTTGGAGGGATCTGGGAAGCGGCCGTCAAATCCTTCAAGCACCACTTGAGGAGAGTTATGGGAACACAATTGCTAACACTAGAACATTTTTCTACGTTCATGGTGGAAATTGAAAGTATCCTGAATTCTCGGCCACTGTCTCCAAGCTCAACAGACCCCAATGATCTGACAGTATTAACACCAGGACATTTTTTAATTGGTGAAGAGCTTACCGCCCTTCCCGAACATAATCTCCGAGAAATACCAGCAAACCGACTTTCTCTCTGGCAACACATCCAGAAAATGCGCCAAGATTTTTGGAGCCGATGGCATAAAGAATACCTCAACGAGTTAAACATGAGGAAGAAGTGGAGTACTGGCGAACATGATATCTCCATTGGCCGCATGGTTTTATTGAGAGATGATAACCTGTCATCGATGGAATGGCGCCTTGTACGCGCCATAGACATCCATCCTGGCAGAGATGATACCATTCGAGTAGTTTCAATTAGGACTGCCTCAGGAATTTTAAAACGATCCATTAAAAGAGTTGTCCCACTCCCACTTTCCACCTGGAGCCAGCAAACGAGCACAGATGAGGGCAAAAATTAGACAACAATGTATCCAGCTTCCTCAGCAGTTGATCAGTTAACTTCTCAACGGGGGGAGGATGTTTCGTCCCAAACAAATCTATAGTTTTTTTTATTGTTAAATTGTATTTCATTATAATTTATAGCCCTTAAAGAAAAAAAAATACTCGAAATTAACACACATTTTGGAGAGCGAAAGAAGAGGGAGGACGCGGATAACGGAAAAATTGCAAGCCTTTTTTCTTCACCCGCCTAATCCAGTAATCCCAATGAAAATCACGGACAAGTCGTTTGGACAAAGCTGCTGGTCATCTGAGAAAATTCTTGTCTCCTCAAAACCCATCAGCTCTTCAGTAATTCACTATTTTTTTGTCCACCCTCAAATCACACGCGAGGATCGAAAACCGCCGAACCCGTCATTTTATTATGGGCAACTCCCCAACTTTACTAGCTGTTTTCCAAGATAATCCGTTGCAAGCCGTCACACCAAAAACCCTTCGTTTTTATCAAACTTCGCGTAGCCAGAATTTATGACTTCAGAAATGTCAAAATTCTAACTTTCTTTAAATCACAACCTCTCTTCTCCCACCATCAATAAATCGCACCAATGAGTTCGAAGATTCTTAGCCCACCAATCAGAGAAACGACAATAATTATTGTTTAGCTAATTCCCTCCTCCTTCTTCCGACGCTCTCAAGAAAATAAAAGTGAAAAACCAGTTAGTTCGTTTTTAGAAGTAAAGTGAAAAGTAGCAAACTTGTAATCTCGCTAGTGCGCAAAGACCGTGTTGAATAAAAGATAACATTTTTTTAGTTCATGCAAGCAAGGTGCTGTGTCAGTGTACTTTCATTATTTCTGTTATTCACCACTATTAATTAACTTTCCTCCCAAGTAGTTTTGATAAAAGGAATATCAAGCAACACCCAGGGAAAATTCAGTAAAGGAATCACATCTCGAGTGATATTAGTTTGGTAGCTCGAGAGTATCAACCCTGAGTTTAAAAAAAAAACATGTAACGTTTTTTGTCAGCTTTTTTAGGCGCATAGCTAAGCTATGCATATCATATTAATATATTCATATAAATAATGAATATATATGTATATTTATAATATATATATATATATTATTTATAACATATTATATATAATTATATATTATATGTATATTAATTTAAAATTTATACATAATTTGTTTATATATTGAAAATTGTTATATTTATCAATTGAATTTAATTAAAGAAAAAAACTTAAATTATGACTAATTTTTTTAGATACTTAAGATTCTTTTAATATGCAGATTTTACATGAATATTTTATATGATAATACCCCATACATGTAAGCTTGGGCGCGCATTGCGCGCCGTATACGATAGTGTTAACAAAAAAGCCAATTGTTTGAGCACACAATTGCACGACTATTTTTCAACAATTTGTTGAAAAATTTGTTTACTTAATTTACATTATTCATTCACATCAGTTACTTTTTCTCAACCCCCCCCCCCCTCACCCTTCTTCTACGACTCATAATCCTTATTACGAGCATACGCAGTAATTTATTCTATCTGTAACTAATTGATTGTTCTTATTATAGCCATTATAATCATTATTATTATTTATTATTTTATTTATCTACTCCAAGCTTGGATCCAAACTTGGAACATGGTCGGAATTTCCGAGGTACTCAAGCTTCGATTTGCCTATTTTCACCAAGTTTAATTAAACAATGTATTTCCATAACATCAAGGTTGGTTCAAGATAGCAATTCCAAGGCTTGGAATGACCTAGACATCATATATTGGATCAAGCTTGGTTGAAGCCGCGCGGTTGAAGCTCGGAATACCAAACCTGGGCCATGATCGAAACTACCTTGGTATACAAGCTTGTATTTGCATTACATCACCAAGCTTGGTTGAACCATGACAATTCCCTAGAATCAAGGTTGGTTCAAGCTAGCAATTCCAAGGCTTGGAATGACCTAGATATGATATATCGAATCAAGCTTGGTTCTGGCTAGGAATTCCAAAGCTTGGCGTCCTAAGCTGATCCAAGCTTGGACCCATCGTTCAAGCTTGGATTTCCCCACCTGGGGAATGAATCTAGGGACAATTGTACGCCCAGAGCGATCACGGAAGGTGTATTGACATAAGGGGAAGGATGGCAAGGATTGTTTGAGGGATAAAATGCCGACTCTGGGTCAACACTCGGTCACAGTCTCCATCCCACAATTGTCTTTCTCTTTATATAACATCTTTTCAATGTCAGTGAATATATAATAGGGGTGAATAAAAAAAATCATTTCATCATTGGAATGATTCTACGGTCAACTAGAAGTGCGGAAGATAGTTGGGGTGTATTTAAAGTACAAAAATATCAACTCTTGGTCAACACTAGGTCACAGTCACCAACCCAGAGTTATTCTCTTTATTTAACATCTCTTCAATGTGGGTGAATAAATAATAGGGGTGAATAAAAAGAATCATTAGACTAGACTAGACTAGTTTTAGACACGGCTAGATGTCTTAAGAACGTTGTATCAAGACTCCGATAACAGTGAATAAAATGCTTTATTAATATATTAATTTGTAATATATATATTAATTTGTTAAATAACCGAAAAACTACCAAGTTCTTCGGGTACACAACAAAATTTGGCAACGAGGATGGGATTGTCTAACACTTCGAGTCAGTGAAAAATTATGAAGAGCCTTCTGCCTTCATCATGAACAAGAGTGAGCAATTTTAATTGCGAAATAGGAGTATCCAAAAAACACAAAGAACCACTTGGACGGAGTCCTCCAGACGACATCAGTGAAATCCACAGACATAGCAACTCCTGGCCCTGACGCTGAACGGAGCAGCAATCATCGAATAAGTAAGTACTTCTCACTAGTCATATTTTCGAAAAAGTCTGAGAAAAATCCATAAAATCCAAATCTTCCACATTTCCCCCTCATTCGAGTTCCTTGCTAAATTGCTTCCAAGTTCATTTGACGGAGATAGATAGAAAATCAGAAGTTTTATAAAACAAGTAGACGCAGTTTTTAAAGTAGCTAAGAGCAGCAAGCTCCCCTCCTTTTATTATGTGTAAAAAGTCGAATCACCGGCAAGGCCAGAGAACAAATTGATATCCATTGTAATCTTACAGATTGGCCATCCATTTCTGAATTACTGCTGAATCTCTACCATGACAAAAAATCATTTGAAAAATTGTTAGAACAACTCCACTCTATGAAACAACAACGTAATGAGAATGTTTCCCAATTCTATCGAAAACTGGAGGATCTCTCTTCCTGACTCCTAGCCGCGGTCCACACTCAAGATGAAAATGAAAAAACCACTGGAAAACTCGCGCTAATCACCGAAATAACTCTCAATCGATTCCTATATCATTCACATCCTCAGATTTCCCAGATGTTAAGATATCGCGAGTTTTGCTCAATTAACGAAGCTTTCACCGCAGCAGTAGCCGAAGAAAAAGCTTTACGCGTCCGATATGACCACTCGACTGATCCGAATATTTTTTATAACAATGGGCAACGACTCTCAAATGATGAACAGTCATTCCCTAACTCCCAACAGTACTCACAACTTATATACAGGTACTGTCGATACCCGGGACGTTCAATTGAAAATTGTTTGAAAAGAATGCGGGCAAATCAAAGAAACAATGCCCCACAAAATTTCGAAAATCCGAGACCTCAATTTAATCAACATCGCAATAAAGGTTTCAATCACCAAAAATCGTTCAATTCGAATGCAAATTCATCCCGACCATTTTTTGGTCCACGACCACAATTCTCGAATCAAAATCGTTATCAAAATTCGAATCAAAGTCAAAATTTCCACCAAAATCGTAATCAAAATCCAACACGCCCATCATTCTCCAATCAAAACGCTTGAGGAAATGGTCACTTTAACAACCAAAATTTTCACTTTCCTCCCCAAGAGGAGAGTCTTTATAGAACAACAAACAACGAGAACGCTTTTAATGATTTTAATGAATGCCAAGCTCCACCTCCCA